GCTTACCAACCTCTCGAACATTTTGGGACAATCCTCAAGATCTTCTTCAAGCGCTTCTGCAATCTCTTCGACTCGATCATAATCGTATGCGTCTGCGAAATCCTCATTTGAAGCATACGTCGTATTATAACTCGATTCAACATTCCCGCTACTTTTCTCACCATGCAAATTCCAACATGCATAACTTCTATCAATTCCATGCATCAGTAAATGCGATTCCAACTGAACCGCGTCAACCCGTCTCTCATAACAGCATCTCAAGCAAGGACATATCATTCCATTGGGTTCTCTGGCGTGCGCAACGGCAAACTTAACGAATTCTGATACCCCATCCTCATACTCTTTCGACAATCGATTGGCAGTCATCCATTTTTTATCCATGGTTTGACTATAGCAACTAATTAGTCACGCAACTATAGCAAAATAATAATTAATTACCTGTAAAGAAATTCAACATATCAGGTAATCAAATTCATAGTTATTCTTGCCTCACCTTAAGCATGTGCTAAACAACTCATAACTAATTACTAACTAGTGAAGTCGGATACTAGTGATTCAGTCTTGGATACAGGTAATAACAATTATATTCAAACAATAGTGAAGTCGGATTTCAAACCTTACGGTAAAGATTTCATCGGAGGAGAAGCAACCGGAAGATTTAGCAACGGAAAAATCCCGTCAGATATTTTTGGTATAGTCCTATAGTCCTAAATTCTAACATCTATACGCTAACTAATGTGTTGCATGGTTCATTGTGTTTAAGATTTTCATTGATGTTTGATGAATCCCTGAAACGTGCTCGTTTCAATGCTATCAATACTGCCATACTGCCATATACAGCCCTATACTGCCATAACAGTCTAAATATAAACAAAAACACAACCGCAGCTCATGAATTCCACTCAACTATAATCATTAGAAATTCACACTGAGCCGGAAAATAAAAGTAAAAGCAATCAGTTATTCAAGTCAGTTCAAGAATAGGATAGAAACCTTTGAAAATGTTGAGAGCGTCCCGCGTACACTACAATCAAGGACAGTTCGAATTTCTTCAATCGGAGAAAGTTTCACAGCTTTTTCCTACCACAATAACACTTAAAATCAATCTCCCACAAAGGAGTCACACACAAATTTAAATTACAATAACTGATGTAATTTTTATCTAAAAATCGATATTAAATCGTTGAACTATCACTCATTTTTATCTCATTAAGAATCGAAAAGGCCTCGTCAATCATGTTGCTCCTGCAATACGCAGCAAGCAATGCCGTGTATAGTTCAGGAGTAGGGTCACAACCCTCTTCAATCATTATGGTAAAAAGCTGACGGGCACGGTGGGGTTGGCCTGATTTTCCAAGTAGCACAAGGAATTTCATGTAAGTCCCTTCTTTGGGTTGGTAAAAGGATTGTTCTTTGAGCATGTCAAATACCTGCACAAATGGGTAAGTAATTTAACAAAGTAGAATCAATCATCCAAACTATACAACAACAACAATAATTAAACCTTACCCCGCTAAATGGGGTTATCTACATAGATCAACTTTCGTCATAATATTTTATCCAGGACCATGCTTCTATCCAAATTGTTAATCTCGAGATCTTTCTTAATAACCTCTCTTATAGTCTTTTTACGTCTTCCTCTTCCTCTAGTTGTTTGACTTTTCTCCATCTGATCTACTCTCCTTACCATATAACCTACGAGCCTTCTCTCTGCATGCCCAAACCCCCTAAGTCTAATTCCCACCATCTTTTCTACTATAGGCTAGGCGCTACCCCAACACTCTAATATTTTCATCCAAACTATACTAATAATTATAAGTCGTATCAGATACATATTGACTTATTTGAATTTATCTACTGACGTAAACATTTGGTACAAGCTTATGACAATGTCCATATGCTTATGAAAACAACATATATTATGAAAACAGTTTCACCTAATTTCATCTTTTCCTATAGAAATAGCTTATACGGATAAGTGATTATGCAATAAGCCTTAATTAAGCTGTTTATCCAAACATGACCCAACAGTGAAACATACAAAAATTAATGAAATAGACAGGAAAACTGGCGAGTCTATATACCTCAAGGGCTTGAAGCCACTGTTTCTTGTCCATGCGTTCAGATAAAGCTTCGGTAACAGTGTTAACCCAAGCCTTAGCATTGTTCTTTCTCTCCAATTTTTTCTTCAGATTCTTAATGGGGCCCCTCCTCGTGCTTCCCTCAGATTGGGAAAAACCCGGAAACTCGCCTTGTTTCCAGTGTTACTTTTTGACAACTGAAGAGGAATTAGAAGCGGGTTTTGAGGGTGGAGGTGAAATTGCGCAGTGGGTTATACGAAAGGTTGAAAGTTGGGGTCTTGTGGGGGGTTTTGGTGCATTTGGGTTGGGGAATTGGAGAGGGGACTATGGAAGAAGAGAAGGTGAGAGAGACGGAAGCCATGTCCATAGTTTAGTATAGGATTTTGAAACATACCTTTTGATACGACTCTAGACGAAAAAAGCTTCGTGCCGGCGAGGATGAGATGGAGAAGACGATGAACAGGGCTTCGTTCTGATATTTCGTTTTGGGTTTCGTGGGTATTCTGAACTGTGCTGTTCAATATTTCATTTTATTTAATTTTGATATTTGAGCTACCACGGCGCTTTTAGCCTAAAAAGCGCTTTAGTAGCATCAGACCCTATGCCAGCGCTTTTGAAAGCGCTTTCAAAGGCCAATCTTCCACAGCGCTTTTTAAAAAGCGCCTTCATAACCCTATTATTTCGTTTTTATTAATATTTTTATTTGACCTACCACAGCGCTTTTAATGTAAAAAGCGCTTTCGTATCCCCCACCTATGCCAGCGCTTTTAAAAAAGCGCCTTCGTAGGTTTCCCTTTTTTTTAATTTTGTTTTTTGTGAAGGCTATGGCAGCGCTTTTTCAATAAGCGCTTTAGTAGAGGCGCTGCAAAAAGCAGTTTTTGGCGTAGTGTCATTTCAATCGAAACGTCCAATTTACTTTGCTTCTAATAATGTCATCAAAATCTTCAGCCAACAGAATGGTTAGCAGATTTATGAGTAACCAAAGCGGTCTCATTACCAAGCCGCTGTCAGGATTCTGAGGTATGTGAAGGGAACTCTGAAGTATGGAGTGTTATTTCCGTCTGGAAGAAAGATCGAATTAGAACTTCTGAGTTATTCAGACTCTGATTGGTGTGAAGATATAGTTAACAGAAGAAGTATTTCTGGGTACTTATTCAAATTCCTGGGAGCTCCTATTTCTTGGTGTTCCAAGAAGCAACCTGTTGTTGCACTGTCAACTTGTGAAGCTGAATATATTGCAGGCGCTCTGACTTCATGCCAAGCTGTGTGGATTCTGAACTTGCTGAAAGATCTAAAAATTGAGGTAAATAAACCTCTGAAGCTGATGATTTTGATAACAAGTCTGCAATCAATCTTGCCAAGAACCCAGTGCTGCATGGGAGAAGCAAGCATATTGAGACCAAGTATCACTTTTTAAGGAATCAGGTTCAGAATGAAACACTAGAAGTTGTGCACTGTAGCACTCAGAAGCAGCTGACAGATGTTCTAACAAAGACTATCAAGACTGATCAATTTCTTTGTTTGAGGAATGAAATTGATGTTGTCAGTTTTGTGTAACATATAAATAAATGGATGGTATTAGAATTAATTTATATTTTAGGAATTAATTTAGAAATATCTTTTTAGATATTAATTTATATTTTAGGAATATCTTTTAGAACTTTTTATATCTTTGTTAGAGGATATTTAGGATTTTATTTTGTGTATAAATAGTCCAGTGAGGTAGGTCAATGTAATTAATTGTAAATCATTATTCCTTATTTTTGTAGCCGTCATTAAGTATATTTTTTTTGTCTTTTATCTCTTCTTTGTGCACTAACACTAATAAACGTCCATAGCAATAACAGTATTGCTGGAAAATCAGCACACACAAATACCGAAAATATATCTCCGGACAAATTCATTGTGTTTCGAGAAATATACTTCTGGTATGAACATGACATTTTTTTACTAAAAAACTAAATTAATGGAATGAATGTGGGTTGAAATAAATGAACTTTATCTTAAATTTCACTTTCTTTAATTCTTTTTGATATGATGACATACGATAATGAAGATTTGGAGTGAAAAAATTGATTGAAAATAAAAGATTTTTTTTTTAGAGGATTTAAGAAAACTATGGCAAATGAAGGTGATCATGTTGGTTGTTGTTTTTAACAATTTGACTTTTGATTTTTCCGAAAATACATCTCCAAAAATATCTGACATGCAAAGATGACAAAATTCTAATTTTCCGCATTAATTTACCAGAGATACATCTCCAGTCATATTCCTATAATAATTCTGAATCAATTAATCATATTATATTTTCGAAAATATATCTCCAAAATTTTCCTTAATTTTATTATAGGATGACACCATATTTATTCACGTTTGTATGAAGTATAGGGTGCGTTCGAAAATATAAATTCAAAAACAGAAGAATAATTTTGAATTTTTATAGAGTTCTTTTCACTTACATAAAGACTGTGTTAAAAAATCCCCAAATTTTAAATGTACATGATTATCCTTCTAATTTTTTAAGGCTTTTGTAGGACAGATGTAAAAGGGATGACAGATCTAAAAGGGAGGGAGCAGTATAGGCAGTTTTGCACCCATAGATAAAATGTTAAAAGTCTACCAATTATAACTTTGTTCACATGCATGAATTAATGACTAGACATTTCACTAAATTAAAATTGAATGGTTGTTGTTTGTTAGTATAGAATTCACAAAATTGATCAAATCAAAAAAGGCCATACTCATTTAAAATCACTGACACCCATAACTGAACAGATCCAGTGACTCTAAATAGATGATGTCATATAAATAAAGAGTCAATACACTGATTTTTGCCATAACTGTTTATACAAGTCATAACAGTACTAAAATAAAAAGCACTGGTCTTTGTGATTGCAGATACAACTCAGAAAAAGAGTAATGGAAGATTGTCATCCTCTATTGAGAGGAGGTAGAAGAAAAGAGAAAGGTTATAGCCATGGATTATCAACCACTCACATGCATGTTTTGGCTTCCATTTGTGACACCCTTTTTCCTTCTATCCAATTCAACAATGAAAATCAACCACTCTCATCCTTTTACACAACTTCTGGTTCTCAATTCCCATTTCCTGATGAGGTTATTTTTCAACCATACTATATACATTCTTTTTTATCTATTTATCATCTAAATTCTTGTTTATGCCTCTTAGTTGAATGACACGTGTCAAAAACTTTACACTATTTTTTTTTTTTTAATTTTTCTGACTTGGATCTCGAGAGTGTGCTTCTCTTGAGGTCTCAGATATAAATCCAGAGTTTTGCTTTGCTATGACATTATACGGCCCTCTCCTACTCAACAGTGGGATTGGTCTCCTTAGATTAATCGGTCGCAAAACCAGATACTAGAGCATTGGAACTTTACTAGTTTGAGTCAATAATTTGTCTTTGAAAATGCAAGAGTTTTTTATCTATTAAATTCAGTTTTTTATTTTTTTCATATGAAAATCAGGGTGCAGAGTTATTGATGTTGTTCAAGAGGAGTGTACCAGAAGCATTACCTTTGGTGAAGTGGATTCTAAGGATTCTGTCATTCAGGTTAGGGACACTGTTGCTTTGTGGAACCTATTGCTTGCAATGGAAGTGGCCATTTGTTCTTAAATTCTCTGAGATTGCATTGGAAAAGAGACAAGAAATGCTAAAGAGTTGGTCGAATGCGAAATGTTGGTGGTTGCCTCTAAGGGATGTGTTTGTGTTGCTCAAACTTAGTTTCTTCTATACTTTGTTCTCAAGGGTGATTTTTCTCATTCACTTTATATTTTTCAATGTTTGGTTGAAAATTGAAATGTTCATAAGATGTTTGTTAGTTTGACTATGAGATAAAAAAATGTTATTAGCAAAATACAATATGTTTATGTTACACGTTTTATGTTATTGAATGAGTTTTATGTGCAAAAGTGTGCTAGTAGTGTTATTTGTGGTAAACATGTGAATGTGTCTTGTTATATGATGTACAGAATTGGTCGTGTAAAGAAATGGTAGAGACTAGCAGAACCGTGAACCGTGATATAGCTAATGAAAATCGGTCAAACTAATTTGAATCATTTTCAAATAACAAACATTGGCTTGTTATAAACTCTCAATGTTATAAACTTCTAAATGAATTTTCCTGATTGATGCAGACAGATGAAAATGGAAATAATCCAATGTGGAAGGCAATAGGGTACAAGGTGGACACCAGGGAAAAGTTGAAACCAAAGAAAAGGCCTCTCCAAGAAGGACTAATAGAGACTACGCACGAAACTGATTCTACATTAATCCAATCTCTGAATGAAAAAGGCCTTGAAGTCACTGAAGACGAAGAAAAGAACTTGTACAAGATCAAATGTGATGTTGTCGTTGTCGGTTCTGGTTGCGGTGGAGGAGTTGCGGCTGCAGTTCTTGCAAAGTCAGGTCATAAAGTGATCATCCTAGAGAAAGGAGAGTATTTTGTTTCTCAAGATTATTCTTCCCTGGAAAACTCATCGATGGGCGAGCTATACGAATCAGGTGGCATCATGCCAACAATTGACGGTAAAACGATGATCTTGGCTGGCTCAACAGTAGGTGGAGGTTCAGCTATAAACTGGGCTGCATGTGTAAGAACACCAGATTCTGTCATGAAGGAATGGTCTGAAAAATATAAATTACCACTTTTCGCTAGCTCCGATTATCGATCTGCTATGGATTCGGTATGCAAAAGGATAGGTGTCACAGATAAATGCAACAAGGAAAGCTTTCAAAATCAAGTTCTTCGAAAAGGGTGTGAGAGTATCGGTTTAAAAGTTGAGTCAGTTTCTGTGAATGCTTCAGCAGATCATTATTGCGGTTCATGCAATTACGGTTGTAGAACAGGAGATAAAAAGGGAACCGACTCTACTTGGTTGGTCGATGCTGTAGAAAACGGCGCAGTTATCCTCACTGGATGTAAAGCTGAGAAATTCATTCTGCAAGATGGAAAAAATGGAACAAAGAGAAAGAATTGCTCAGGAGTGACTGCTGCAGCAAGTTGGAAGAGTAAGATAACAAAAAAACTCCAAATAGAATCCAAAGTAACTATTTCATCATGTGGATCACTACTTACACCTCCTCTAATGATTTCTAGCGGACTACGAAATCCAAACATCGGAAACAACCTTCATCTCCACCCTGTTCAATTTGTTTGGGGCTATTTCCCTGAAGACATGACAAACTTGAGTGGTAGTAACTATGAAGGGGGAATCATAACTTCTATACACAAAGTACTTGCTGAGAATTCCACACCGAAAATCATTATAGAAGCACCTGCTATAGGACCTGGAGTATTTTCAGCATTGGTTCCATGGATCTCGGGACACGATATGAAAGAACGAATGGTGAAATATGCAAGAACTGCTAACCTTTTTGCATTGG